AATCTTCACACTTTGATATTTTACTAAAACTTGATGTATTACGTGCAATTATTAATTCTCGTACACATAACAATATAACAAAAACTTATCAACGCCCATTCTTGCGGTGGAAATTGATTCTTCGGTTCTAAATTTCTTGTAAACAATTTGTTCAGTTCACTAAGTAAACATGCAAGCGTGTACCATCGATGGCACACGTGGCACGGAACGTGTTAACGCTGTTTTGGAATTGAATGATGTAATGGTGTTCGAGATCACTTTAAGATCAAATATAAGTACGAGGAAATATATCATTATACGATATCGCCGTTTTAATAATGAAACTAAAGCGATATGTTTTGAACAAATGACATAACGTAAGTTCACAGGTTAAGGATTTAATTTTTTATTGAAATGTTTCAGGTGTGTTCTTGATACCTTACTTCCTAATACTTATAGTCTGTGGGGTACCATTGTTGTACATGGAACTTAGCATCGGACAATTCACTCGACGAGGACCGATTGGTGCTCTCGGTCAAATTTGTCCCTTATTCAAAGGTACAGAAATATCGATCTTCTCTAATTAAAAAACAATCAATCAAGCGATGTGTTAAATGTTATAGTATATGCTGGCTTGTTACAATATAGCTATGTATATATGGTTCTCATTAGAATTCACATCTATTTCTTAAATAAAAATATGTATCATATTCTAATTTTTTTCATATTAAAACTTTTTAATTTTCCAATTTGTAACGTTCATTTATCGTGGCTTTCCAGTATAAACCAATAAACACTAATATGTTATATAAATAAAATTTAATAGTTAGCAGCAAGTTGAATAAACATTATAAATTGAAAAATCAAAAAACTTTAATATAAATTGTAGTCTGACACATTTTTTATTTAAGAAATATAACATATTAATGTTACTTTACTAAAATGTTATACACGAACTAATTAGGAAATGATTCTATTTGTTTAAACAGGGGCTGGCTTGTCATCGGTAGTAATATCATTTTTAATGTCGACATACCATAATGTGATAATAGCCTACGCTATATACTATTTCTTCGCGGCGTTCAGAGAAAAGCAACCGTGGTCCGACTGTGACAACTCATGGAATACCGTGGCTTGCTGGTTACCAACTTTCAGTGCCATCGACAATCGTACCCGACCAAACGCTTCCAGGACGCCTTCAGAAGAATTTTTCGAGTAATTTTTTAATAATTTGCATAATTCTACGATTCTCTCTGTCTAATATTATCGTAATTTTTACACCACTTTAACTATCTCAAAGAACCAACGTATCAAACATCGTGTAATTAGTAGATCATTACACAAATAATGCAAATTTCATTTCGTATTTTTGGGGTACATCGTAAGATTGCAGAAAATGAAATAAAATATACAGTATGTCCCACGAATTTTATTCTGTATTTTGTATATAGCAAAATAAGTCGACAATAAGGAATAAATTTGCTCATTTGAGGTTTCGTCTCCGAGAAAACTGAATTCGAAAAACCACATGATTCGCGTGTCCTGCAATAAATAGAATAAGCAGTGTCGTTGAAATAAGTAAAATTGATAGGTCATGAACAGACACGTCAGCTGAATTCCTATCGAATAACTCGCGTAGACGCCCAATTTTCCAACTCATTTGTCCTCAGAAACGAAGCGTCAAATCAAAAAATTGAATTATATATTTTCGACTTGTTTTTCTAATGTAATAATAACAACAATATATAAAAGACTAATTTTATGAATAAATTTCGGAATTTTAGCTTCAAAGAATACGAAAAGTTATTCGCGTTATTTATAAAATGACCTGATTTATTGCTACATATTGCTAAATCTTCGACGCAAGTTATAAGTATCTTTCGTTAACAATTTAGCAACAAAGTACTCCAGATGAGTAAAGGAATCGAAGACTCTGGAGCACTCAGATGGGAGCTAGTTGCCTGTCTAATTACTGCCTGGATTCTGGTGTACTTCTCCGTTTGGAAATCTATAAAATCGTCAGCACAAGTTAGATACCTCACGGCTACACTACCGTTCGTTTTAATCGTTGTCTTCCTTACGCGATCCCTCACCCTCGAAGGTGCTGACAAGGGTCTACAATTCTTCTTTCATCCGCGATGGGAGCTTCTCGGTGACGCAAAGGTGATATAATTATATGCCCAGCTACTTGAACTCTAAAACTACTGCCAATCGAACAGTGACAAAGTTATAATTGCTCAAAAGTATAAAATCCACAATTTTGATATTGTACTTTGTGGATCTTGCAGTTTTTAGTATAATAGACTAATTATAATTTTCTGTTTGTAACACCTTTATCATCTTTATTATCAATCTTCTGCTCTAATACCTTTATAATTTATATACAATTATTGTATATTTTAAAATCTGAAATCATGTGCAGTCTTTTTTAGAACAACACTTTTTGTTGAAATTTTCCAATGTGGATCTTTATTGCGAAAATCACAAAAGATAATAGTCAAATAAACAATTATTTCTCCTCGTAATAAGTTTAATAAGGTGATTGAAATGTGACATTATAACTGTTCAGAAGATGCAAATATATTTTTAATTAACAAGAAAGGACAAAATGCGAGTATGCATGGTGAATGCTCGTATTAATTAATTAAAATGAATCGATCTCACAATGCATTGGTTGGTGACACTCGTCACAACGAGATTGGATAGTTTAACATAATTTAATATAATTATAGCAGTTTAAGACTGTACCTTTTTGTAACCTGGTTTGATGGAAATTATTTTTGTTTGAGAACACAGGAAAAGATTATTAAATAGAGCAATGACTTTATTAATAACCTGATGGTATAATATATACAGTCGAAATATGGCGTTAAACAACAACTGACACAAAATTTTGCTTTTTACAAATAATTGTTTGTAGCGCGCTAAAGTTGTTACTCTTTAAAAAAATCTATTATTTTATTTTTGCTAAATTATATCAGTTTGAACATTAACTTTAAAAAAGAATTTATGGTAGTATAGTGACAGCTTTTCGAAAATACTCTGTATTTGATATCAATAATTGTATTTGATATCTGTTTTACAGTTTGAAATTTGCAAAATATTACAACAATTTCCTAAGAATTCGTTATCCAAGCCGTTGGAAGCAATAATAAATCTGTTTCTCTCGATCTATTATGTGCAACGATTAGGTGTGGATCAACGCAGCTGCACAAATCTTCAATTCTGTCGGCATAGCGTTTGGCTCGATGATATGTTTCGCCAGTTACAACAAATTTCACAACACCATCTTGGTAGACAGTGTCGCGGTATCGCTTATAAACGCGTTTAGCAGCCTGCTCGTCGGAATATTTTCATTCGCCACCATTGGTAATATCGCCCTCGAACAAAACATGTCCGTCGAAGCTGTTCTTACAGATGGTACGTAGCATTTAGAGAGCTCTTACCTTAATAAATTATTACGTCTTTTACGAGTTAAGTCCTTTTACAAATTAACATTTGCGCCCGAATATAAATTAATCTTAAATACGACGAAGGTTCTAATTCGGTGGTTTATCACAGGACATTCAGGAAATTTCTTCCTCCTCGGTATATTATTTTTAAGCTACTGGTAATTCTTAATGCAAATCGTAAAATTCGATTTTATCTTGATCTCGTGATTTTTAACTAGAAAAATGTAAAGCATAAATGTCCATAGACAAGTAATGATAAATACTTTACATTTTCACGTCTGAGTGGTGTCAATCAATGTCAGATTAACTTCTCCTGCAATTTTATAGACAAATCATAATTTCCGTTCAAGGACCTGGCCTGGTATTCGTCGTTTACCCGCAAGCGTTAGCCAAGATGCCTGCGTCAAAACTGTGGGCCGTGTTATTTTTCTTTATGCTAGTCTGCCTTTCATTGAATAGTCAGGTAGGTCGAGTGAACAGTGACCAGCAAGCATTAGATTGTTCATAAATTTAACTGCGGATTTTATTTTTTATACATATAGTTAGGTTATACTTTATATAGTTTTTGGATCAATGTCACTTTGGGGAGGATAATTGAATTTTGCTTCTTCAAATGACATTAGCTTCGCAGATTAAAAGTCAAGGAACAAATTAATAAATCATCTAATTTTCTTATTTCGGATATAGTTTAACAGAGATGCAAAAATATAGCAATTAAGCAAGCACGATAGGAAAGTTAACACAAATCATTGTGTCAACTTTAACAAATTGTTTTCACTTCAAATTCATGATCACAAAACAAAAAATTGGCAATCGAGTTTTGGACAATCTAATAAGCGGATATTATACAGGGTATCCCAAAATTATTGTACAAGCGAGAAATGAGGGGTTCCTAAAATCATTTGAAGCAACTTTCGCCTCAGCAAAAATGCAATCCGCGTCTTCGTTTACGAGTTATTAAAGAAAAACAGTGACCAATGAGAGGCGAGATCAGCTGGCGCGAAGCGGCCGTGCCAACGAGCGGTCAAAGCTCGGTTCACTGTTTTCCGTTAATAACTCGTAAACGAAGCCGCGGATTGCATTTTCGCTAAGGAAACAGTTACTTGAAATGACCTCGGGAACCGCTCATCTCCCGCTTGTACAATAATTTTGGGACACCTTTCTTGCCTGAATACTTTAACTTCTTGATAATTAATTATTTAATTCTATTCCAGTTTGCAATAGTGGAGGTGGTCGTAACATCAATTCAAGATGGCTTTCCGAAATGGGTAAAGCGTCATCTCGTGTGTCACGAAATGTTAGTACTTCTAGTATGTGTAATATCATTTTTGTTCGGTTTGCCTAACATTACTCAGGTGAGAAATAGTTTCTTGGAAAATACAATGTACATTGCCACACTGTTAACTAAACTAATGGACATTCCACTGTTTCCAGGGCGGTATTTATTTCTTCCAATTGATAGACCACTATGCGGCATCGATATCGATCATGTTTCTAGCATTCTTCGAAGTGATCGCGATATCCTGGTTTTATGGCGTCCGACGACTTTGCAACAATGTGAAAGAAATGACTGGACGACTGCCATCTTCGTACTTCCGGTTCTGTTGGCTAATCGCAGCGCCTCTCCTTATTA